ATAAGTCCCCTATAGTGGTCATGAGTCAGGTGATATTGAACAAGATATATCTTATCCTAGATAGTTATAGTGTTCTTTTCAGTGATTTACAGTGGAAGTGTACTAATATAAGTAAACAATTGCCTCAAAATTAACATCAACACTTGGAACGAATTGGTATCACGTGATGTGTGCCTGATCCCCATATGATCACTAAGTGTATGCAGATTACGTATAACTATCAAGACTTAAATGTTCTTATTCTAGAGTTGTAGAATCATAAACTACTCCTATAATATTTTAGTTGTATGTTTGGTTCTAGTGTTTTCCTTGTGTAGAGTTTGGTAAGTTTTAGACTTATTGCAACACTACAATCACTCCCAAGCACATGTTGGCCGTATCTTAAATAAATATAGTTATCAGGCTATATTTATCCCATATATGATCACATAACTATCCAGGTTTAACCGTAGTGTCCAACATCTAAATACTTTTATTTTGTTCTTCTTGTGATATTGTTTCTGATATGTATGTATGTTTGTATACTTCTTATAAAATAATTAGATTTTAAAAGTACACTTTTAGTTCAGAGCATTTTGGCCCCATAGTGTTTATAGTTGTATATCACATAAGGTTTGATATACTTAGTTCACTATAAATAATGTTCTGATACCAATCTGTCACACCCCCAAACCGGAACGGCGGAAACGTTCGGGGGTGGAGGACATCATTTACAGTATCACAACAATTGTATAATAGGAATCAAAGCAAACACAACCATTACATTGAATAAGTAAAGTATTTACATCTGTTTGATACATAGTTTGTATGACATCAAAAATTTATAACAAGAGTGTAAAAGACACGACTCTAAAAGCTCCGTCTTCTCAAAACCGATGGGTGTACCTGTCTACCGATTCCCTGAGAATACAAATGGTTTTAAAAGTGTATCAAAATTTAATTTGGTGAGTTCATAAGTATGTTTTAGTGATGGAAAACGTGTCTTTGTACTTTGAAAAATACTATTATGTTTCTCTAGAACTCTGTAGTAGCAGGTAGTCTTATTAGTGAATAAACCATATAACGTATGTTTTCCTAAACCATATTTAGTACTAGTGTACTCTATACTAGGAAAATAGTGTATCGTAGTAGTGTTCATTATGAAACCTTTGTAAGAAAACCTGGATACCACTAGCAGTAGTGTATAGTAGTGTACTATTTGTATGAAAACCTTTGTATGTATGCATGGATACCACCAGCTGTAATGTATAGTAGTGTATTATATGAAAACCGTTTGTATGTATGTCTGGATACCACCAGCTGTAATGTATAGTAGTGTACTATATGAAAACCGTTTGTATGTATGCCTGGATACCACCAGCTATAATGTATAGTAGAGTACTATATGAAAAACCATTTGTATGTATGCCTATATACCACCAGCTGTAAAGTATAGTAGTTTTATTACTTAAAATAAAACGTATTGTTTGTATGCCTGGAATCTTCCAGTTGAAATGTATGGTAGTTTTATTACTTAAAATAAAACCATTTGAAGAAATGCTAATCCCATAAACAAATGATTTAGTTTATACCGTTGTGAGTTTCATATAACCATACTTGATATGACCTACGGACCTCTACGATGTTCTTCAGGCATCAGAATGTTCTGTCATTTGTCACCCCAGGCTTGTCGGCCTTCATTTATTTCAGGAACAGGAGTTACGCTCCATACTTGATTCTGTTATCCTAACATTCAATACACCAACCCAGCTGCAAGGCGAAAGGTCTACTCGACGAGTTGGATGCCCTGACTCGTCGAGTAGGAACGCACTTGAGCGCGTGTCTAAAGTGGCGAACTCTACGAGTTGGAGGACACCACTCGACGAGTTGGAGCTGGAGGATGAAACCTTAATTTTTAGGGTTTGTACCCTATTTAAAGGACCTTAAGTCCCTTCCTCCAGTCCTTCACCACCCCCATTGACGGCTGAGAGAGACCTTAACCAGTCTAGATCTTGTTCTTGAGTATTGTGAGGCTAAAAGTGCTTTGTTGGTGCATTATTTGAAGAGATTTGAGGAGTTAGTGGACTGGGACGAAGAGAAGCCTGTGGATCCAGTATCTACTTCATCTTGGCATCATTTTGAAGGTAACAAGTCGTTACCTTGACTTCCTTCTAGCTAGATCTCTCTATACTTGAGATTAGGGCCATTTTATCATTTTGGTGATTCATTTCGGGTATCGGGCATGATCTGAAGTTGCAACTTCATATCTAGGGTCATCTTGGTCCTTATAGTCATAAAGCTTCAGCCTTTAGCAAAATAATGTCTTTTCCTCACCTAGAACCTCTCCTTTAGCTTGATTTTGGCCCTTAGCACCTTTCATGTACGTAAAGTTTGCAACTTTATGTAGGAAGTATGCCCTAGGAACTTTGATATGCAATATGGAGCTTTGGGGTGGCTTCTAAACATATGAATGGATAAAGGATTAAAGGGACTCAATGAGTTGCATGGAAACTCGGTAAGTCCGACGAAGATTAGAATATGAGGGTTTCTCCATGAACTTGATGAGTCAGCGAGATGACTTGACGAGTCAGTTAGGGTTTTCCCGACAATTGGACACACATGAACTCAACGAGTTGCCTGGGAACTCTGTGAGTCAACTAGGATCTTCACGGTTCCTCGATTTTTGGAAGGAATCGACGAGTCAATAAGCTGCACTCGACGAGTTGGGTCAACATGGATTATTGACCTTGACTATTGACTTTTCCTTTGACCAAGGGTTGACCAGTTTGACTTTTGGGGTTATTTTGGTAAATTGAGAATTTATGGAATTGGATGATTGATAGGTTTAGGTGCTGGTGTTGGAGCTGTATTTGGAAAAGGTTGATATTATCATTCCGAGCTACTTAAGAGGTGAGTTGTCCTCACTATACTAACGGGGTCGAAGGCACTAATGTCGGCCCTTTTTCGGATTTGTATATGGGGTTATTGCACGTTATACTTTATTATATGTATCCTAGTTATTGGATGGTTGCTATTTTAGAGATCGGTTAGATCAATATCTTGGTTATAGGATGGTTGCTATGCTAGTGATCGATTGGAACAGTATGTTGGTTATAGGATGGTTGCTATATTAGAGATCAATTAGATCAGTATCCTGGTTATAGAATGGTTGCTATGTTAGTGATCTTTTAGATCGGCATGACTATTTGTTTATATGTATGTGCACATGTTTGTTGGTTTGGGGGATTGGGTTGATGCAGGTCCTTCTTTGTACTGTAGGCTATCGTACCCTGGGCGGACCGGATAGACTGCATACCCGGGAGGGCATATAGTCAGGCCAAAGGCCCGGTGAGCAGTCTGGATAGGATAAAATCCCTGAGAGGTGGTCCAGACGTGCCGAAGTCTTGGAGAGTAGTCCAGATAGACTGATGGCATATGAGGTGGACCAGTCAGACTGATGGCTCATTATGCATGTTGTATTTGTTTATATGATATGGTTATATTTGTATGTCATTGGTATTCTGGAGAACTCACTAAGCTTCGGGCTTACAGTTGTTGATTATGTTTAAGGTACCTCTGATGATCGCGAGAAGGCGAAGGCGTGATCGTACAACTCCTCATATTTCATGATTTTATGTTTGATTCTGGGATACTCTGACATTATAATATTTTGAAAACAAGTTTTGTAAGAATCGTTGATTTTAAAAATGTTTTAAAAAGTTTAAAATTGGTATGATTTTTATGGATGTTATAAGATTGGAAACCTTTGGAGCCTTTGAGCACACTTGGAATAAGGGTGTTGATGTAGATAGCAAAAATAAAAAGCTTGATCTTCTCTACAAGTATCCACCACCAAGAATAAGGAACTTTGGAATGCTTGTTCCCTTAGTGTATATTAATCTTCTTAATCCTTTAAGTGCTTGTGACATCCCCAAAATCTCGGCCAGAAAAGACCGATTTCATTTATGCTTTTTAAAATAATTTCAGAGTAAATCTTTTTGATTTAAAAGAGTTGCGGAATTTGTTCCCAAAAACAAAATATGATAAAATAATATTTATCAAAGCATTTCATTAAGAGATGCATTTTCATTATATAATCAAAAGTTGGGATGTCATGTTTCGATACAGACCATAAAGCATAAACGATAACATTACAAGTCATTCAACAAATATATACATATACAGACTTATAAACAAAACAACTTGATGATTCATCCATCTTATGCCCTTGCGAATAAACTGAGTGGGTCAGGCTTGGGAGCCTGGTGAGCATATAGGGTTTTCAACCCACAATAAATAATTATATTTAATTTCACCAACCAACAATAACCTGATTACCCATTCCCGTTATCCTCACTTTATGTCCCTAAAACAACATCTATCTCAAGGGACCTAATCTAGGATTTTCATCGAGACGGACATTACTGCTAAGGGGTTTCCTCAACAATAGATATCCTAAAGCACTACTAGAAAAACAGCCTTTTACGTCGCTCATTGCGCGTCGTAAAACGCTCAGACGACGCGCAAATGCGCGTCAAGGAAGGCCCTGTCATAAAGAGAGACGACGCACATTTACGACGCACATTTATGACGCGCATTTACGATTGCGTATCAAGGAAGGCCCTATCATAAAGGAAGACGACACGCATTTTCGTGTTGTAACCTTACGACGCGCGTGTTTATGACACGCATTGCGTATCAAGGAAGCACCTGTCAAGAAAGGCCATGTCATAAATGAAGATGACACACATTTTGCGTATCGTAATTTTATATGTTTAAAAAAAATATTATTTATAGATTTATTGATTTTCAAATTAAATTTTCATTTAATGTCTCTTAATAAATAAAATATCATAAACAAAAATACAATCCATTGCACAAAATATAATGTCATACAAATAATCGTTCCATGGAAAGATAAAACAAATCAATAGAAGTTGTAACGAAAATATACAAACTAATTAGATACAAGAAATATGAAAAACTTGGAATCTATAAGATTAATAATTCTAACAGAAGCTTCACGTGAGATACATACAGTTGGACCAGTAAGCAAGGATGTTCCCAAATCCACAATAGCAGCAGAAGAACACGTACACGATATCTTTTGCAAGAAGGTGTCGGTCCAAAACTACTGTTGAAGGTTGCCATGATAGCTGTTAAGATTTAAGCATAACAAGAAACCAATCAGTGACTATAATAAGCTAGAAAACAAGCAACTAATAAACAAAATAAGCAACTAATTAAGTCAAACTATGACTATGTATTGTTCATACAAGAAAAAGAAGGAAAAAAATGTTGATTTATTGTTGTTCATACAACACTCTCCAGACAACACTTAATTGAAGAAAAAAATAAGGCTAAACTTACAAAGAAAAAGAATTCAGGAAGAAGACAAGTTTGAAAGCATACAGAATAACGTTTAGCCAAGCAAGTGTGATCTACCTGTAAAGTTGAAAACGCAAAATTCTGAGTAAATGACCTAAATACCCTCAGAATTGTAAATCATAATAACAAGTAACAGACCTTGTAGGAGGCAATGCAGAGGTCTGGCCATATGGGTTTACCTGGCAAAAATGTTGGAGCACCAGGGAAATTCTGATCACATGGATCCCAATGACCACCATCTTATCATTCAACCAAGCTAAGAGAAAGCTATCAACCCCTACCATATATATATAATTATATATTATATATATATAATATATATATATTAATATATATTTAAAATTAATTGAAAAACTTGTAGTGTGTTTTGTTATATGTATTAAATGAACGTTGTACCTCTCCATCAGGTGAAAAGCTCAAAAGAGAATTGTTGTATTCCCATGCATATAATATTAACCAACAACTATAACACATGCATATAGTATTACAAATTACAACATTACCCCTTTCAAAAGCGAATGTGCTTCACTTGACAAGAATCCTGGAAGCTTTATCTTGTCCTTCACTATTTTCTCCTAAATCTTCTGTCTGTTTCCACCTCTAAACGAAGGCTGCAAAGATAAAATGTCGAACAAAATTACATTATTACCCTCACGCTAAAAGTAAGGGGAATTTAATAGTGATTTATTAAAAGTAATTAAGGGTGACAACACACCAACCTTTCCAGTAAGCATTTCATACATTAAAATTCCAACACTCCACCAATCAACGGCCTTATCATGGCCCCTCCCTTGTACAATTTCTAATGTCCCACACATGGAATTTAACCGTGTGCTTTCATCAAATTGCTTTGCTACCCCAAAGTCAGTCAACATAACCTGAATAATAATAATTCAGTGAAGTTAAACCAAAACATTTTACCACAATAATAAACATCATCGTTTTAATGACAACTGCCAACATGGATGGTTAATACAAGTGCAGGGTCAACAGCCATTGCTTCATGGTCAATGTTGTTTAATGTCTCACCCGATGCCTCCCATGTTGAGGAGTTTGCTTTCACTTGACTGCTAGGAACAACAGGGGGAAGAACACGAATAATCTTCAACATAATACAATCCTTGGTTGTATCATGCTAAACAGTAGCAAAACAGTTTGTAGAAGGTAATGTAAAAGAAGCAACTGTAGAAAAAACATTGATCTGATAGTGTGTAATTAGATTAAAGATTATGAGAAGATAATAAAGTAAACCTTGAGTTGCTGGATTTGGGATCTTAGTTGTCTTCTTTCAATGCTGGTCAACGAACATGAAAGCACCGGTTTTTTAACTCCACATGCTCTCCCCAATTGTTCTTTTGAAGGAACAAAAATATTAGAAACATACCTTATATTTAGTAAGGAATGGAAATGCTGGTCAACGAACATGAAAGCACCGGTTTTTTAACTCCACATGCTCTCCCCAATTGTTCTTTTGAAGGAACAAAAATATTAGAAACATACCTTATATTTAGTAAGGAATGGAGTATGGGAAATCATTTCAAAATCTTCAGTGTCTGCAGCCATCACTACAAATTCAGAAAACCCATATTCAGGTCTCTTGTAACTGTTTAAAAAAAAGAAAAAAAAGAAGTTAGAACCAACATTAAGAACAAAATATCAAAAATAAATATCAAAACAAGTCAGAATAATATTCACGAAGTTGATAAACTCTGGTTAAGAAAAAGAACAAGAAACATAGCCAACTTAGTTAGCTTTAGCCAAGAAACAAAATACTCATAAATGTATAATCTTTAGCATATAATAGTTGATACTCCTAAGCCCTATCAAGTATCAATTAGGTTAAAAATTCCCAAATCCATGTATCTCTTAATTTCATCGTCAAAACAAAGATATCCATGTGATTAGAATAACTAATTAGGTCACAATATTTGAGCACCGATAAATTCATCCTTCCCAGCAGGAAGTCTAGAGAATTAATAAGTTTTGTTCGAATACAATTAGTTTCCATAATTACATTTTCTTATATGTGCCCTAGGGCACATATTAGAAAATCCCTTAATGCCCTTGAATCTAGAAGCCCCATAATGCCCTTGAAAGTTGTTAGGGGTCTCACCTTCTCAGTTCAAAATGTTGCATGACTGGCACTGGAGCAATCTTGGAGAACAACAAACTATGGTGACTAATACCAGCAATACAAAGAGATTCTAAAAACTTTATGTGAGCTTCAAGAGATGAATCCCTAAGATAACAAATATCAATAAAATGGTTAATTTAACTTTGACTGAAAGCCAGGTATCATGTTTATCTAATAATGAGATGATCATAAGTAACTAATTAGAATTTGTTTCTTTTTTACTTAATGGACTTAGTGGGGACAAGACTTTATCTGGTTAGCTATATATGCATGTTTCTTTTTGACTTAATTTAGAAAGAGGGATCTAATAGGGAAAGTAAGGGAAATTAGGCTTTCCCTATTAAGTCCAAACCTTTTTTAAATTATGCCCTCGTTTATTTTTTACTTCCATTTCTCCAAGTATGCCATCATTTTTTTTGTCCACCATTAGGCATTGAAACAAACCTGAATAATATCAAGCATTATGCAACTCTGGGAAAAGATAAGAACTTTATGGCCTTCCGGAATAAGATTACCATGTAATTGAATAAAAAAATCACATTGTACATTTGTACCTGATGTTATGAAACACACATTCAATTGCTTAAGATTTTCACTGATGTTATGAAAAATCTACATTTGTACCTGATGTTATGAAAAATCACATTGTACATTTGGATGACCTAGAAGCAAAAGTTTTCACTTTATGCAGAACCATGAACTATATAACAGTGTATGGCATGACCAAGAGAAACTTTATGCTGCAAATCCTTCAAGGATGGTTGGCAACAATCATCTTTCATCTCATTATCAGACCAACTTCCAGCAGCAGCAGCTGGCAAGGAGCTCATTGATTTCTTCTAATAATGGGCATTGGAGTGAAGATGAGAATGGGAATAATGATATGAGACTACTGTGACCAGGGGTATGATTGTCATTTTCTAACACAACATACCATTTTCTGTTTTCACCTGGAATTAATTTTCACAAAATAAAAAAAAAAACATATAAGGTTTTCTCAAGTATCAACTATAAAAAAATAAAAACCAATTTCCACTAATCTCGATTGATGTTACTGCTATTCAGAAAAATAAAATCATAAATTAGAAGAGAAAGAATGACGGTAAGCTTTCATTATAAATTGAACAATTGTATTCAAACATTTCAACAAACATCCAACAAGCATGTTAAAGAATCATGTTTTGATAGTCAAATTGATTCACAACTCCATTGTTAATAGATTTAGTTTTCATATGGAAAACAGATCAACAATTGATAATAGAACAACAATGAAGAACCATAAGGTCCCAATTCAACAAGCGATATTATCAAATACACTCACAATCAAGTACAGCATCAAGAAAAATCTTACCATACTAGTTACCAATTCGAATATAAAACTGATCTGGAACATCAAATTGGAAGCAATTGGGACAAAATTAGCGATCAATATGAACTGAAAAACAAATTTAGCGAATCACTTTGTTCTTCCATTTCTGTCGAGGCGATGCTTAGGGCAAAACCAGAATAATCGAATTCTACAAACATGAATATTACCGGAATAGGCTCAATTTCAAAATCGATATTATGGCTCGCTTTTAAAATCGATTTCATTAATTTTATATAAGAAGGGTACAGATGACCTAATTATATATAAGAACTCTAGAATTGATACGTACCTTTCTCTTTGATAATTTCTTTTAAGATGACTATTGTTTAGGGCTATCAACAACACCGTCATCTCCACTACCATAGTGTAATAAACAAAGCACCATTGAAGGCCCTTCCTCATCTTCCGCTGCCATTACTTCCTTGAGTGAAAATTTCAAACTCGATGCGAGAGGAAATGAGTCGCCAATAAGAAATCTGAAATCATAAAATCAGATGGGAAGAAATCTTTGAAAAGAGTTGAATTCGTTTGAGATAACGATGTAAATCCTTAGAAATCTCAATCGAGAAGAGAATGGAGAGCCGCTTCTTTTTTTGGCGCTGAATCGTTTCACCACCGGTCGATCACCACGAAAACAGGAGAAGTGGAAGCTTAAAATAAAATAAAACCCTACACATATTTGTACTCTTCAATCGTCGAATCTAGGGCAGAAGTAGATGGACGATGGGAAGTAGAGCAGATGTGAAAATAACCCCCAATCGCTAGTAGGCTCTGGAATCGTTAGCTTGTGAAAATTTTGTGAGGCAGTGGATGTGGGTGAGAGGTGGAGACGATGTAGGGTAGATATGAGAGTCATATGGAAATGAATGTAGGAGAAGAAGGCGGGCGTTTAAAATTTCATTTTCCCTCTTAGAGACGTGTGTTTCTTAAAAAAAAAATATAAAACGACATTCACAGAGGACGCACGAGTGCCCTCCGTGTTTTTAATTTTTTTACATGAGACACTATTTAAGGGAACGCAATAATGCGTAACCTAAATCCTTAAATTTTTTGAATAGACGACACTCTTTTAATGTCACTCTCCTTTGCATAACATAAATCACTGAGTGTCGTGGTTTGCACGTCGTAAAACGGTCTTTTTCTTGTAGTGAAGGCAACCATGAGGGGGATAGAGTACACCGGTGAACACATCGTTCACAATACCTACAGGTTATGAACCTGCTAGCGTTCCACTGGACTGTCTAGAAAGAGTCCGTGGTCATCATCCATACTCAGCTAGATGACTAGGTCAACATCAACAACATCGATGCCTCTCATCTGTTTATCACACATCAACTATCTACCCATGTTCTACCCAACATATTAGTAGATAAATATATATATATTTTTATACATAATTTAAAACCAGTATAGCATGTTCAATCAATACATATTCCACATAACAGATGAGGCACACACACATAATATGTATTTCATAGAGAATAAATCGGATCTATGAGATAGAAGAAAGTGAATATACATTCACACATATAACAACAAAATATACACATAACACGTATTTTATATAAAATACTTCATAATTATGCGTTAGAAGAAAGTAACTACACACTCACTTGATCAGAAGATGATCGGACACCACTACGACTTGCAGAAGTAGTATTCTTCCGTAGATCTGGAAGATCTTCACAAAAACCGGGCTCCTCGCGGGCAGAGCTTCGGCTCAGGAATGTAACTTCTCGGAATCTTCGGGGATTCGAGACTTGCTTCGGGGATTGGGATTGATACTGGGGCTTCGGGATATTTTTGGCACGCAAAACGATGCAAAATGAGAGAGAAAGAGAGAGAGAGAGAGAGAGAGAGAGAGAGAGAGAGAAGAGAATTTGGCAAAAGAATTAGGCTGCCCTCACATGCCCTTTTATAGGAGGCTGAGGCCTCGCATTACGTTGGGTGTAATGCTCTACGCGGGGCATACTCCTCAGAAATCGTCATCGCTTACGTCATCACAGCTAGTGAGTCTGAGGCGGTGCATGCATCGGGGTACGTTGGGCGTACAGCCTTATGCTGGGCGTAACCCGGATAAGTCCGGTGACTCCCCTTCGGATAATGTAGGATTTAATAATTAAATTTATATTTTAATTATTTAATAAACTTCAAAAATTCATATCTTCTTCATACAAACTCCGTTTTCAACGTTCTTTATATCCACGCGTAGGTGAGACTACGCTCTACAACTTTCGCTTAGACTCCGTCGGCTAGTTTTGACTTTTATTTTTAGTAGGCCGGGACAGGAAAACTCCGTTATAAATTCATAACTTCTTCATCTGGTACACTCGAGATTGAAACATGCCATTGAAAAGTTCAATGAACCTCAAAAGATCTAGGAGTTTCAAATACAATTAAAACCTAATAAATTATTTCATTTTTCATTGTGGAAATTGGTGAATCGTCATTCGCCTACCTTCAAATATTTTATAGCTTGGATTACGACGTCCCTCTTCCAAGTTATAAAATATTGTGTTGGGTCCTAGCCTTAATATTTCGTATTGGGTGTTATATTAAGGATTTTGAATCAACTAACTTGATTATCTCCCATTATAGATGTCTGGTTCAGACAACTATGATCTTCCCAAATCTCTTGGAACAAGCTTTCCTCTTAAAGATGATGTCCCTCAACATCATGCTTCTCTTCCTCCACCTCATCTATTTATTCTCCCTAACCCACAAGTTTAAGGTCACTCAGGCCCTATTGGTAAGCATAGTCTATGTGTGCTCACATCTTGGAGATAAAGTCACATATTGACAAGCCGGGAGAGTTAGGTGTCAAAGTCTTGTGAAAGTTGGATGTTCAATCACTTTCTTGGTAACATAGTGAGTCCCTTTGGGACTACTATGAGACAGACTATGACATGACCCTTAGTGATCTTATCTATTTGCTTGGTGTTGCGGAATCAGCAATGATTTGGAACACTAGTAAAGCAAATTTTATTAGAAGATCAACTTCCCAAACCTTAAATGGACATTGACAATGATAGCATTGGATATCTAGAAAAGGATTTCTCTTCCCAATGGAAAGGGATCGGCCATAGTCAACTCGATCGAACAAATGGTAAAGAGAAAGGATAAGTCTGAGATAGTCTCATGTGCCATTATCAAAGGGTCCATATGTTTTATTGCCAAAGGGAGGGACACTGATTGCAAAGCTGCCATATTTACCTGAAAGATCATAAGACTGATCAAGTCAAGAAGTTTGACTCTACTTCAGTTAAAGTCCACTATCTAACTCTATTAAGTTCCAATTTGGAGATTCTTATTACATAATGTGAATGGGTCACATGTTGATGTTTTTAAGAATCAAAGAAAATATAGGAAGCTTAAAGGAAGTATATGTTGATTCTGATTGCGAAGATGGGTTTCAATCGCATGGTTCGGTGATCAGAATTTTGAGTTGTTGCTTGAGAGTTATGATATATTACTTAGGAATAGATAACAACAAGGTTTTCATATGAATTGTAAGGATAAGTTTTTCCGTAAAGTTTTTAAAATAAAAAAGGGGGTTTTATTTTTATTTATTTTAAAAATATCCTTACAATGGCATTTGTGAAAAAAATTTGCTTATATGTTTCCAGTAATAGCAATATTGGAAAGTGGATTTGATTCTTTCGTTTGTGGTAGTGTCAGAATTTACCAAATGAGGAAAGGTTCTCATCACCCAAGTTTCAATTGGACCGAAACTTTGAATCATACAAGTTGTATTGTATGATGGATGAGAATTTTCATCTTTGGAAAATTAAGACTAATTCCTTATGTGAATAAGGATAGGACTAAAGGGATCGAGTACACATGCTTGTGCACTGGTCAAGTCCCCTACAACGATTGATAAGATTATTCGTCATGATTTGCTAAAGCTTAGTAAATATGGTTATACTTACAAGTTTTAGTATAATTCTGAAGCATTGAAAATTTTTCAATGTATGACAAAACGAATGGGAAAGAAACAAATTAGGCAGAAAGATAAAAGTTTCTCAAATCTGAAAAGATGGGAGAGTACTTTAGTATCGTGTTTTATGATCATCTTAATGATTAAGATACGATATCACAAATTCATACTCTAAGGACATCTTAGTGCATTGTTATGACTAAGAAGAGGGGTCACGAATTGTTGGAATGGTTAAAATCAAGAAGATGAATCATACTTCATTCCAAAACAACTCTTAGAGTCATACTCCAAGATTGTAACATTGAGTGACATAAAGTAAGGTTTAAAACACTTATCAAATGTAGTGTAAAATGTTTTCTACTCCTGTACATTTGAAATTGGTAAGTTGTGATGTCTTGGACAAGACAAAGACCAACTAAGACCAATTGTGTGAAGTGTTTATCTTGATAAGAATCCGCACTATCCCTTGAATATATATTTTTTTTGTCAAAGAATGGTCCTTGACTAGGGAAACTTATATGTCAAGAGGACAGTGGGAGTCTTAAAGATCCTAAAAGGATTTCAAGATTTAATCAAGAGTATAACCTGAGTTTTATCACTAGCACACGACTTAAGGTTTGCAACCTATTAAAGTTGACATAATTCTTGTTTCTGTGTCTGTTCCTATTAAGTTGACTGTGCATGTGAGTTCTGTTAGTTCTAAATTGTGTGCATATCAGCTTGGAAGCATTGGCGGGCCTTGTGCTACCAGGTGACAAGAAATTAATATTGAATAAGTTCAATCCATGTAAGGGTGAATTTGTCACTAACCTTATCATGTGATTATGGTTTTGACAAATTCACATGGATAAGAACTTATACACCATAAAATCTAAGTGTCATAAGGTTTCTCTCCGATTCATGAGAATGATGGTGAGGAAACGCTTTCACTAAGTAGATTTTAAGTAGATAACAATTGTGTTATTTGCATTTTCAAAAGTCGTTAGTGGAGCGTGTGTGGTTAACCGGCACACTAACATGGACTTGTGAGAAATGGCAAAGGTCTAAACAATTGAGACTATGATTACGACATCCCTTTTCATAGTTCTTGAAATTGTTAGACACACATGTGAGCTATCTACGGAAGGGTGTATGAATCTAAATTTTAGAAGTCCGACCGATTTCTAAATACATGTTAAAGCTAGTGGGAGCATAAGTGTTATGCTAATAATCATCATGTTAGTGGGAGCATGATAATTATGATTATTATTATTGCAAGCTAGCAATGTTAATTATAGAAAAATAAAAGTTTCAATTCGTGAAGTTGCAAGGGTTGAAAATTTATTTTTCTATGATTAAGGGAGAGGAAAGTATACTTCAATTCAATTCTAAAAGCTTAGATTGAGATTTTAATCATCTTTAGTCAAGGATATATATATATATATAC